AGAGAGAGAGAGAGAGAGAGAGAGAGAGAGAGAGAGAGAGAGAGAGAGAGACACACACACACAGAGGCACAGATTAAAAGACGGATTAACATACCGTCAGATGGACAGACAGACAGGCAGACCGACAGACAGACATCCATCCATCGATAAAGACAAAATCAGTTGAGTATTTCAGCACCAGAACGAATGCATTTTTACAGGAGCAGTTTGAGACAAAGTAACCCATTCAATGTCCTTCAGCCACCCCACCCCCCAAAAAAAAGAGTAAATAAAAGAAAGTAAAAGAAAAAAAATCTAACATAGGTATTCAAAGAAAATCGAATTTGGTAAAGACGAACATCATCTCACCTCGGCTGGGTTGGAGATGATAATGATGAGAAATCTGGCCTCTTGACAGGAGGGAATGAGGTACATGCTAGACTCCAACCTGGCAAGTCCGATGTGGCGTTTGCGCACAGATGAGATCTCACACCTGGCAAACATTGGCGAGATCTATCTATCTATCTATGCCATAGGAGCTGGTTCAAAGCTCAATACAGTCCGATACAGTGTTCTTTGGAAAGGCACTCTACATGAATTTTCTCGATTTGGCTCAGTCCTATTGGAGATGAGCATACCATTTGAAAATCTTAAATAACCTTACACTGTTCCAAAAGGCATTGGAAATGGTGAAATGGTATAAGGTTTAACGCCCCTATCAACACTATTACGTCGTATTTAAGAGGCTGGAACTCCGAATGTAACGTCCATCCCCGAAAGGACCCAGTCAAATGGGAGACTCTTGTACCACTCCTTTCCGAAGAACACGACGTCGGTCCGAACGGAGGCTCAAGCCCCTGAACCCGCAAACCCACGATTCGGGCCCGGCAGCCTTATCACTAGGCCACCAACGAAAGGGCATTCAATCGATACACTATCGCAGAGAGAATTAGAAATGCAGTACAGCTGTAAATCGTGAAATGAACTTTCAACACGTTTTATTTTAATCCGTATAATTTCACGGTATGAGTTATTGTGAAATTTAAACGTTTTGTTGTGTGTTTTTTTATATCCAAGTTTCCACTTTATTGCGTCCATTGATTCTATGGAAGTTCACAGAGAATTTATGCCGGCAGATCAATTTTGTTCTAATAAAGAGTAGAAGAACACTGGACGCCCGGTCTTTCCCAAAACATTGCGGAGCCGTGTGGATCTTGCATAGCAAACCTCTCGCAGACACCCGCAAATTCGCCACAACGGCGTATTAAGGCCAAAGACACTCGTCAGCCTGTCCGTCGGTCAGCGGACGACAGCTGAATGGGAATCTCGTGTTCATAACATAATAACAAGTGTACGTTCGTTGTAGGACTAGATTCATATACATATATAACAACACTTATGTACATTTTCGTCTGGATTAGCTAGAGATTTTACCTCTGTTTCATAATAATATAACAGCACGTGCACGTTTCCCCTAGGGCAAATTGCAACAACACGACCTGCCTTTTCCCTTTTAAATTAAAAAGACCCCATCCCTTAGTAACAATCTCTATTACACTTATTGTGTTTTTTGCATCAAAATTTGACCAGGAGCACTAATTGAAAGATATCAGATTTAACCATCCACCCACTGCCCCCCCTCTCCAATGTGCGTTAACAAATTTGCCTGGTTAAACCTGCCCTACTACATGGGATTTGGCGGAAGAAATTTTATGGCAGCTGTGAAGCACACAAGGCGGACTTCTGTCAGCCCACGTAGGTCGGAACACAAGCAGGTAAGATGTCTAGATCTACTACTGCCTCTATGCCCCTTAAGTGGGCTGGCGATAGCGGCATCTGCTCAATACCTAGTTTAGAGAAATTAGTTAAACGTAAAAAATTTTGAGTTTCACGACATGTCAAGTTTTACTGAATGCAATTCTTTGAATATCTCGATAACGACTAATAACATTCTTACAATTTTGATGGGGAAGATAGAACATTTCGTTTCTGACCGCATGGTCTTAGTAACTCAAAACAGTCAAAATTTCTGAAAGAAGTTTGTAATTCTAAGGTATCGTCTAGTTGGTTAAAGAACAGCCACAACTCAAAGTGAAAACTTTCTTATTCTCCAGGGAGACATCGATCTATCTATCTACGAGGGTTGTTCCAAAAGTTTTGCCTCCTCTCCAATAACTTCTAAACTATTCTAGATATCTTCAGGAAAGTTGTACTCAATTGACTTTCAATATTACTTACTTACTTACTACCCATTACGCCATCTGGCGTTTAGGGCAGCAACAAAGGATCCCCAACTCTGTCTGTTTTGGGCCATCTTGGTCAGCGTTCTCCACGAATGATTCCAGGACTTCATTTCAGACTCTACTGTGCGTCTCCAGGTTACTTTGGGTCTGCCCCTTTTTCGACGTCCTTCGGGTGTCCAGTGGAGGGCAGTCTTCACAATAGAGTCTGGTTCTCTTCTCAGAACATGTCCAAACCATCTCCATCTTCTCCTTTTTATAATGGTGGTCATGTCCTCTTTCCTACATTTACGTCCTTGCGGCTTTCACTGCCAGAATTCATACGAGTCCCAAGGGACTCTGAAGGTCCATCACACGGTTTCTCTTTGTTGCTGTTTCCGTAACATATGTTTTTTTACCAGTCTGGGTTGTTAGCCCTGAGCTGAACCTCCGAAACCTGGAGGGCCGGTGGATCACGCTTCGTCTGACCTCTACCCGTCGACCTGTCTGGCATGGGTGGCCCTACCAGGAGTATAAGCTCCAGCCAGCGTAGCTCTTGGGGTCACTGAGGCACACACGCTCTCTAACCACAACAAGATAATGATCCACTAGAGAGGACTTTCAATATGTATACTCTCAAACCCATAAAAACAGAATTATGCTATGATGTCACACCTTTATGCTATTGCTGTTCACACCATGGAAGCTAGGGTACACTGTCTCCGAGAAAATGGCGTCCAGCAAACCTATGAATGTGCGCTTAAACCAAAGAGCTGTTATTGAGTTCCTTACTGCAGAGGGAGCTGCACCCATTGATATTCATAGGCGAATGAAGCTTGTCTATGGTGAAGCATGTGTTTGTGCCTGTAACAAGTCTGTAAGTACTGTTCGGAGATGGGCATAGGAGTTCGCTGAAACCAGTCCAGCAAGAGACAGATTTGCTTGACCCAGCTCATTGTGGTCGTCCCAACTCTGCCAGTGATGTTCAACACCAGGAGAGAGTGGATGAGTTCATCCAAGCAAACCGGCGGATCTAAGTAAGAGATGTCAGTGAAATGCGAGCGATTTCTGTAGGAAGTGCTCATTGCATTATCCATGATGTGTTGGGTTACAGGAAAGTTAGTGCACGGTGGGTTCCCCACATGTAGTCACCCGAGCTGAAATTGAACCAAAGTCAATTTAGTGATTAACTCCTGGCTCGTTAATCCGATGAAGGTGAAGCTTTCTTATGCCGTATAGTTAAAGGAGACGAGACTTGGGTACACCATTATGACCCAGAGAACAAAAGACAATCTAAAGAATACAGGCACACTGGCTCCCCTAGCCCTATGACAGTGTTTTGGGACTGCAAAGGTCTGATTCATATGGAATTTTTGGAACAGGGTTCCACAATCAACTCTGAACGATACATTGAGACCCTGAGAAAACTTAGAGCACGGCTGTCACGAGTTCGGCACGGAAAAAGGCAATTTTGCACCACGACAATGCCCTTCCTCACACGAGTCGACAAACTCAAGATGCCATGAAAAGTCTCAAATTTCAAGAGACCTTATCGCATCATCATACAGTCCAGACCTTGCTCCATCTGACTTTTATCTTTTTCCTAAATTGAAGGAGTACCTCAAAGGGAAACGCTATGCCGATGACGATGAAGTTCAAGCTGATGTGCGTCGCTGGTTTAGAAGAAAACCATATGAATTTTTCGCCGACGGCATGCGACAACTTTTCGACGTTGGCAGATCTGCATCGTCAAAGAAGGCGACTGTGTTGAAAAGTAAAGGTACTATCATGTAGCAGACATCCTTAGATTTCATTTGGTGTATAAGTTTTGAATGTAGCACCAATAATAAAGAAATTATGAACTTGGAGGCAAAACCTTTTGAACGACCCGTGTATCTATCTACCCATCTCTCCACCAAAATCACGTGTAGCTACAGGGTCCCTATAAAGTACATGTACCCTTTCCGGTATCAAGAAATGTGTTACATTTACACCAACACCCACACGCACACGCATACACACACACACACACACATACACACACACGCACACACACACAAACACACACAAACACAAGCACACAGACATAGACACATACACACACATACAAACCATAAAAATTCTCAAACCACAAACCATCGTCTACGTCTTACAGTCTAGCATTGTTTTTCAGAGGTGTCTTTGGAATCCTGTATAGAATACATCCCCACAGTAAGACAAAGACACTCGATATACCACGTGTATCCTCTTCAAACAGAGATCAAAATCATGCCTTTTATTTGGAATGTGATAAAGCCAAACACAGCTTGAAACAGTTACAATTTCCTAAATGAAGTGAAAGAGAAAAAAAAAGAAAGAAAAGAAACTCACAACAGGCACAGCCACATGTCATCGAACATAATGCCGTACTCGTCAGAGAAGTTGGTGCCTTGTAGAGCTCTCTGGGGGTTTGTGCCTGTAACAAGGAATACGTAGTAGGTTTTGAAGGGGTTGAGTGAAAAACAGGACAAGTCCATTTAAAAAAAAAGCGAAACTCAGGGTTCTAGCCCTTAACTTACAACAGTACCCGCAGAATACCACAGTGAAATCAATCAAGTATAAAAAACAACAACTTAGTTATTGAAATACAGTATTTGATAAAGGCTAATCAAGTTAATAACAAGTCAAAACCATCTTGAAAAGAAGTGAAGCATAGGCTAAGTCTTGATATGATATATATGACCTAGCCAGCTTTTCACTTGATCCCTTCATCTGTATAATGCGATGTCCCGCACAACTGTACTCAACAGCAAACACAATGAGCTTTACAAGGTGTATTGTTACCAAAGTACACCTGAAAGCAATTCTACTGTAAGTGTCGGTGTCACAGGCTTTCACAAGATCATTGGTACCTTGGAGGATTCACTATTGTAATGATAGCTTCGTTGGTTGAGAAACAAATCCTGGATAATGCATGTTTTACATTAGCCCCCCCCCCAAAAAAAAAATTTAAAAAATAAATAAATAAAAATCTAAAAAAAACAACAAAAAACAAAAACAAAAACCCCCCATAAAAATAAATAAAAAAATCAACCAACAAAAAACAAACAAAACCAAACCAAAACCAAAACAAAGCACAATAACAAAAAACAAAAACAAAAACAAAACAAAGCACAGTAACAAAAAACAAAAACAAAAACAACCCCCCCCCCCCACCGGCCCCCAAATAAATCCTTTCAAAATCTGTTTCGTGTTATTTTCTTACATTTTTATTAGAAGATGAGCTAGATTTGTTAGAAATACAGCAAAGGTCATCATAGCCCTCTGTTTGTAGCGCATTACAAAACTGGGGTTTTTTTTGCTATGCGCGACTAGGGTCTCCACTATTTATGGGACCAACGTGGGGGCACCCGAGACATGCGCGACAGATGATTTAACTGATCAAGGCGACAGTTCGTAGACCTTTACCAGAATTCCGTCCGTCTTGCAAGTAGAACTATATGCCAAAACATGGTTTACATCCCATGATTACACACCTGACATTTTGTTTTCTCGCAATTTCTTCGGGGTGGCCGTTTGTGATCAGCAACAGCGACAGAAGACAGACACAATTTGTCTACTGTTTTGACTGTACATGGTTATCCTCTCTTGTTGTTTGCGTGCTCAGTCAGAAAAAAACCCAAACAAAAAAAAGAACAACCCCTACCCCGAAATAACCACCCCCCCCCCCATAAAAATACCCCCTCCCCTAAAAAAAATTAAATAGAATCAAACCAAACAAAATCAAACAAACAAACAAAACAACTCCTCCCCAAGTTATCTTCTCCCTTTTTGTTGTTCACAAGGCAGATGTTTCCCTATCACAGACGTCTTCATATTAACACATAATCTGCTAAAGAGCCAGATGCAGTTAAGTTTATTAAACTCTTCTAATTACTGCTACAGCCCATCGATACCCAGCTGCCTTGTGAAGCTAGCTTTGCGTCGTGCATTTGTCTATGCATTGCATACTTGGAGGATACAGACAAAATATTCTTTAACTTTGTAAAAGTGCCTTAAATCAGCCCTTGGGCAATTTGATTTTTCCTGTGTGTCAGCCGAAGCTAAACTAAGCTTACGTTCAAGGTTTAGTTTTCTTTACGGCCCTAACCCCTTGACTGCCTGGCCAGAGACGGTCTCGGCCTCTCGGATTAGACTATGAGTAGAAACAAATTACTACGTTACACAAACCTTGATGTTTATTAACAAGAGTTGAACAACACGTTAGTATGTTATTTAATTGTCTTTATGTAATAGTTTGTTGGGGGGGGGTTGCAAATTTTCGGTCTCATATACCCAAATACCCCGAACAAATGACGTCCGCTTCCGTCCTATTTCTCTCGATATTGATCTCATACACTTCCAATCATCATACCTGCCTCAAACATTCAAATCGCCCCTTATCTCCCGCACTCCCATACCCCTCCCATTCCCGACGCTCCCATCACTTCTCAACACCAAATCTACCGTTACCCCAAATGCCCAGAGGTCAGTACTGACACCTCAAGGTGAACCTCATTGGCTGTTATTGCAGTACTGTAGTTTCAGAAACTTAAGGCCTCGAAGTTTTCACATAGATCCAATGTTAAAAATAAACACATTTGTTTATTTTTCCCCCTTTGCATACGTTATGCCTCTAATCACAACAGTTTACTTCTAATTGGCTGCTTTTTGTGACCTAAACGTACGCGCTTGTTGATGAAAGACATTCTGTTAAAGATATGTAAGCGTCTGTTCTGCTTGCCACTTCCTGAACCTATTTATACATATTATTTAGATATCATTTTTGAAATCACTAAAGGCAGGTAATTAGTTTTTCTCGACATAAAGGTAGTCTCTACGAGATCAGCTCCCTGTCGATTACGTTGTGGGGCCGAGAGCGTTTGTGGTTATTGGGCTGTCCGATGAGAGGGGAAAACGACCTCACCAAACTTATCAATACACTTTTCAAAAAGGAGCCTTCGATGATATATTGTTATATGCCGATAACATTGTTCACAACCTTTTCAGCAGCAGCAACAACAGGAAACTATATCAACAGCAGCAAGTGCAGCAGAAACGGCAGGAACAACACCAAGAACAACAACAACAACAGCGACAACGACAACGACGACGACGAGGACAACAACAGCAACAGCAACAGCAGCAAAAACATGACAAAAACAACAATGTCATCACGGCGGTGGTTTCTCTTCGGGGAGGATTCAGGGAGGTTGGACTTTCTCACCTGCTACCCAAGGGAGGCGTTGGCCCTGGCAAAGAGCACGTTCTTCGGGGCTCCAAACATTTCGAACCGATAGGCTACCACACACACACGCACACACACACACACACATA